AAAAAAAAATCATCGCAGATATATGAATACGACTGTGATCATTCAACCGTCAATGTGACACTTTCGTGTAATTTTATATAAAGCGACGGGTTGTAAAGTAAAGAAATACATGTGCCCTAAACGAGGAAAAGATGGCATCTTCCCAACAAAATATAGAGCGATGTGGTTTAAAGGTATAGCCTAGAGAATTAAGTGCATTTAATTTATAAGTTATTTCGAAGTTATAGACGTGATAAAGCTCTGTGCACGTATTCAATATACTTTTGCTTTCAAACCATTGATGAAAAAGATGATTGAAACATTGTTTGAAACAATATTATTAGAGACGGAATGCTTTTTTATTAAACAGCAGACGGAATACTTTTAATTAAAGAAAGCATTACTTAAACAAAAAATGGTGCTTCCTTTAAAAAATGTTCAAACTTGACCATGCTGAAAAAAACCTAAATGCATGTATAATACATTTTCCTTATTTTATATTAACAAGCGGACAGATTTATTATATAAGTATTTCAAGTAAAATTTGTCCGCTTTCTAAGTATCTTTGAGCAAACTTTTGTTACACTAATTTCTTGGAGCTGTATATCAAAACAAGGTTGTTCCAGGTGACTGATTTACTTACGTCGCAACTATTTACATTCAATGTCAGTCAATAACACCGCTTTTAAAATTTTAATATCCATAAGAGTGAAACCGTAGATGGTTAATTGCTACAATACGGTGTATATGACTGTAAAACTTAAACTTGTATTGTACCTACGTATTTATCTTTAATTCATTTGATAAACTGAATTGAAAGTTGATTTATTTTAAATTTGTATACACATCAAAACTCTGTACCTCACAGTCTGAATGCTTTAACAATTTACATTTTGCATTATTGTTGAAAAATAAAATATTTTGTTACAGCAAAAACACCATGAGAATGCTTTATTGGCGAATGTTTGATGTGTGCGATAAATGAATGTGGTTCAACCTATATGCCTAATAATGACAAAGTTGATGGCAAATGTTCATGATTAAGCCTGAACTGTAACACACGATCTAGACCACTTAGCCAAAGAATTATTTCCCTCACGCATATAGCGGAGTTTGCAATTATAGTTATGACGGAAAGTGTGTACTCAATAAACAATAGCTTACTTAATGCGAAAATAATAATAAGGAAATATAGCAATCATAATCAAGCGAGAAAATATGTTAAGTTAACATGAAGTGCTAAGAATAGGCTCCTTTGTTAAGATTGTCATTGTTTGAAATGAAAACGGAATTATGTGCATATTTAGTTTTTCCTTTCTTCCATTTACAGCGCACTTTTTCTGTAATTTTGCACCGGAGAAGAACCACTGATGTTCCGTTAGCTTACTGGATAGCTTTCTCTGGCGTGATTCAGTCCCACAGCGGAGAGGGACAAGTGCTTTGAAGTCAACGACTTTAACCACTCGGCCACCGACACTCCTTACAATTCGTTTGCCTTCTTCATTGAAAATCTTTTTCCTGGTATAACAGATGATGTACAATTTCACTTTATGCTCATTTACATATGAAATTTGAATTTCAACAAGCAAAGTTTTATTTTCCCCGAGTCTGATGTTTAAGTGCAGAGTTTAAAATCTGTTTACCAGCACCTCCCCTCGTCGCTGTAGGTTCGAATCCCATGAGAAACATTGAAAACGTTCATGTGAGGAAGCTCTTCAGATAGCTTATTAATGTTTGGTGGTTCTACTCTGGTGACATTAAGTGCCTGAAGTAATGCACGAAATGGCGCTACTAGTAAAACTGAAAAATTGCCAAAAGTTGAAAAGTTACCTTTTTGTTGTCGGTATGACTTGAAAATGAAACAAACCAAAAAATAAGCAAAGAAAATCTTTTTTGTATTGTGAAAGTGCATTATTAGTTATGTTCAGACAGTTTTATTTATAATATAAATTCTAACCATGGTTTCTTAGGCTTGTGGATAAAAGAAGTACAATGAATACATATCCTATCAAACATAAAAAAACTGAGAATTTTTCCATTGCGGTATAATTAACATTTAAATACGCCGATCACTTCTCTTTTAAAGAAAATAATATATTTTATAACAAAAAGTCTACTTTGTGCAGAAAAAAAGGAATACTTTTCTAATTGTTTGATATACAGGAGTCTTTATAAATTTATAAATAAATAAAGGATACATATGAAAGATTGAGTTTCATCATCTTTTAAACAAGGAAGTAAAAAGAGTGGTATCATAGCCTACTTTACTTGACTGCATCTCATTTTCTTGCGAAATAAGTAAAACGTCGATCACTGTAATAGACAACGACCATGACCTTCAATATTAATTTGTATTTTTCAATAGAATATATCCCTACATTATAAACCATGCTGGACAAAAAACTGCCCTTGCATATTTTAAGGCAATTTAGCATAATAAGTGTTTTTGTTCACTAAACTTTAGTTCATTTGAACAATTTACCTTTAAATAGTTTTTCCTAAAGTATCCTATTTCGTTATATTTTGTGTTTTCTATTCTTTTATTGTTGTAAAAATATCGTATGTATTCAATGTTTTAAACATTTAATATCTACAAAATAAATCCATTGCTATTATTCATTTTTTCTATGAGTGTAAAACATGTCTTAATTATTGGTTATCAATAATATAAACATTAAATCTCAAAGTGATTAGCTCACAGTGGAATCCTGATAATTGCGTATACCTTACAAATATATTAAAATACGTATAATCCATATACTAGAAAAACGATATCGCCGCTAAAGTAAAACGTCTATGCCAAGCGGGTTTCTGGCGACCATGTTTCTAAGGCTTAGCGCCCTGTGCCTTATTTTGCCATAATGTGGGAAAACTAAGCTAGAATGAGTTGCACATAGACAATCTGAATTTAATAAAATGTCTTAAAGTTTCTATTGTAATTAATTATCAGTCCAAGGAAATTCCAATGCAACGCGAGCATTTGACGGCCGTCTTTCTTAAGACAGTTCCTTGTGTCTTATATTGCACATGTTAAATTGCAACGCAATAGGATCAATTGGTAGCTCATGGAAGGATCAGGATGATAATGTAATTACATTTAAATAATGGAAGACGAAATTGCTGGACCACCTAAGGCGCGTTTCTCATGCGAGGTCATGTTTCTGAGGCAATGCATTGCCATGAAAATTGATCTCTAAGGTATTTCGTTGATTGATTTGATAAGAAATTAGACCATTTTGAAATAGATGATACTCCAATCTATTGCTTTTGGCTGAATAGCAGAAGCAAAGTCAAGCGAATAAGTATCTCACGGTTTATCACTCCGAAAGATAGTAATTAAGAAATAAACATAAGTAGAATATATATAGCAAACGAAATCAGCTTTACCAAGTGGTCATCTGACGGTCAAGTTTCAGAGCCTTGATTGGTCTCCAAGCTATTCTATTGGCTAAGCGAAAAAGAAAACGAACCATTGAGGTTGTTACGTCGGACTCCTGAAAGATGAGTCTGTTCATGGTGGTAAATTAAATTCTTTTGTTAATGATACAAACTATTTAGTTTTTATTCTTATCAGCATAAACATTTTACACGTTCATAGCCAGGTATTATGAGACGGTTTATAATCTTACATAAACATTGTATATACATGTATAAAACATACATAATAATTACAGAAAAGAATTATGTTGGACTTGATATAGTTATATAATTACAGAAATATCAGGGAATAACAATGTTTTGCGAAAACTAGACAGTATTTTTTTTCAAATGATACACGTATGTGAATATATTACGGTAATATTATTGTTAAATTTTTCAAGGGAGAAGTCATTATACTTTTAAATTTGTTTATATTTGACCAAGTATAATAGTATCATGGGAAATAAAGTGCCCAGAAAGAAAATCAGAAAAAATGGACATAATTATAACAGATGGTACTCATTGTAACTAAATTTCCTATTACATTTCACACAAAATTATTATATCGTTCCTATCTATATTTCGGAAGCGGCCTTCTTCTATAGCTTACCTATGAGCCAGACAAATATTAAGTTGCAGAATCAGTACTTGTTGAAGTTAAAATTTGTGAACGTTAAGCTGACAAAAATGAATAGACCATATGCAACCTAACAAAGACAGTCATCTGAAGAATAACAAGAATGCAGTGTCGTACAATTTTGGGAAATGGGTATTTTAGAATTCTTCAAAAAACAGTACATGATAATATAAAGATACTTATGGTTTACAAAGGGTATGTAAAACGTATCAGATTTCAATCTAAGAAATTGTTCTATATTTAGATATTTTCTTTGAAAGGCAAAAAAACTGACCTACATTTTTAAAAAACATCTACATACACATGATTTTTTTCAATTTCTGAATAAAACGAAAAGCTATTTACGTCCTTGAAAAGTGTATCGAATTATTTTGAAGTATATAGTACAAAAGTATCTCATTGATATACTTTTTGGGGTTACAATGTACACACTTTATACCTTTTTGGGTATCACATTGTTTTCCTTATATCAAATTGCATATTCTATTAACATTCTTTCGCATAGCAAAACTGAATAATTCGTCTTGCTTTTGAAAGTAAGCAGATGGAAAATTGTATCACAGTCAAATGGCATTCTAAATATATTTTCTAAATCTCGAATAGTACAGTTCATAAGTTATTTTTAGACAAAGAAACAACCTAAATACAAGGAGGGTGATTTTATACTACTTATTATTCGTTTGTTATATGCATTTGACCTAAATTGGGACGTAATAAGGGAGATCTGCCACCAGTTTAGCTGGAATGTCAGTGTGCGATCTCAACAGTGCCGTGGTAAATTGGAATTCAACAAAACAAGTAAACTTGTAGGTAGGTTTTTACCAATTGTCTCGTTGTTAAGATTAACGCTTATTTCTCGAAGGTGCGTTTATTGTGGATGGAATCATTTTTAAATCATAGGTTTAAAGTGTATCGGTGAATAATTTCTAACGTAAATTGAAGTGTTAAGAATAATTATATAAATAGTTAATGCAATGACAATCTACACTATACTTTTTAACTCACCAATTGTTCTATCATCTTTTTATTATCTATTATCGTTAAGATTTGAAAAGCATGGACAATGTCTCATAATGAGTTTAAGGATAAAACTGAAATTTTATGAATTTAGTCAAGTGACTGTTCATGAACAAAAAAAAAGGATTTATACTTAAATTTTGACAGTAACTTTTACTGGGGTTTTATGTCATTTCATTATTATCATTTTTGACAAAAGACAAACATAAATTGAGGAAATGTGTTTGCATCAAATCATTATACTAAAACCGTTCCATTTGTTTGCATTCCTGTCTATTCTTTATTCACAGTATTATTTGATAAAAGACGAACTGAAGGCGAACCAAGTCGACTTGGTAGAACATATAGAGGAAACGTATTCTTTTCTTCTTTTTTACAATATTTGCTGTTTTTAATAAATTATTTAATAAATTAATTTATAATAAATTAATCAATTTATTTATTTACTTATTAGTACCTACATTAATATAAATATGTTTATCACATGAACCGCGTCGCATAAGTGTAATGACCCCATTTATTAAAAAAGATGTTTCACTAATGTAATAACACTTTAACCTATTACTTCATGAGCATTTTGTAAAAAACGGCTATTTTCATTGAAAAGTCTCCCGTTACAAGTTCAAATTACTATAAGTATAAAACTATAAAAACTGCTGCAATACTATTCAAACTTGGCACAAATGTTGACTTTCCTGTTACCATGGCAACGAGGGGACATCTCAAATTGCCAAAAATCACTATAATAATTATGCGTTGATTTTTTTCCATCAAAATTGATAACAAAGTGCTGCAACATCTCATTTGAGTGATATAAAGTCAAATGCTTTTCAGCGTTGGTTACACGTTACCTTATAATCGATCTGGGGTCATTTTTAGCCTCTCACAAGTCCAAACTTTTCTTGGCGATGAGGGGGACTGCCGCCCTACCTTCAAATCCCCCAAACAGAAGGGGTACATCCCCCTTCTGGCAACCCCCTGATGTATCCTTTGGTTGGGGGCCGCGCCGAAAAAGTTGTCACTTTTTTAAACAACATTTCTCAAACAAAAGCAAGTGTTGGGGGGCTAAATAAGGCATTTTGTCACCATTTGAGACACCAAAATGGGGGGTGTGTATATCGCGTAATGGGTTAACGTGACGTCATTTGCGTTATATGCAATGGTTTGTTAAAGTGAGCTAATATAAACGTTACAATATTACTGTCAACCGGTCTTATTTAGAATATGTGATAACTAGAATATTCTATTCGTGTAGATTCAATACTAAATTTATTGAACTCGTCGAATAAAACAATAGTTTGCTCCCAGAGGTTCACATAATATTATTTTTAACTCGTTCAATAAATTTAGTATTAAAATTACACTCATTTAATATTCTCTATTTATTTATTAAATAAATTTTATGTATTTTTTTGTATTTTTTTATAATATTTTTAGTATAATAATTATGTATTTGCTTTCAAATGCTGAATTAAGTATAATAATTTACATATTAAATACTTGTTATGTTCCAAAGATTATATTACACATTCTATCTTTCAGATATTGACTGCAATTAATTTGAGCAAATTTATTTTACAGAAAGAAGTGTCTGAATAGATCTTAAATCAAACTGAATTTATCCGAATAACGGCTGGCCAAAACAACGCAAAAATGTTTCTTAAAACACTCGAGGCGGGTGACATGATTTCGTTTCACAAAAATGATATCACTCATTGGGGAATCTACGTTGGTATGATCATCTCTATTTGTTTATTCATTAATACTGAGTGAACATGGATACTACTCATAGTACGAGGGTTCTTCAAAAAGTTCTGTTATCGGGTATTAAAAACAAGATAAAGAAAATATATACGAAAATGGTTTATTTCATCCCTTCAAAATATTCACCACTTACAGAAATACACTTTTGTAATCGAAATTTCCACTGTCTAAATGCATCAGAGTAGTCTGCCCTTGGTATCAGTCTCAAACACTGATATACAGCACTTCCAAGTCCGCTTCTGGTGGTTTACCGACGTCCAGACAACATTTTTTTTAGCCGGGGAAATATAAAAAAGTCACATGGACTTAAATCCGGCGAATAAGGGGGGTGGCTTAACACATTTACCTTTTCTTCAGCGAGAAAGTTAACAACCCCCCTGCTTTTTATGCGCGGGGGCATTATCATGTAGTAAATTTACTCCCCTTAATCCAGTACTTGAACGTTTCTTTTTATAAAACTTTTTTATCCTTTTTAGCACAACGTTCTTATAATATGTTCCAGTGATTGTTTTTCCAGATTGTGATGGTATCTGAATAACTGGACCAAGATGATTGAAAAAAAGGTGTACAGAACTTTCTTTGAGCTTTTCTGCCGTTTAGCCACTACTGGACGTTTTTGATGTTTTCCTCTCCATTGTTTATTATCACCCCTCCTTTGTGGCTCAAACATGTAGACCCAAGTCTCATCTCCAGTTAACATATTAGAAATAGTTCTGCTGTCAAATGTTTTGAACGCTTTAAGGAGTTTTTTTGAACACATGACTCATTTTTTTCTGGTCATTGGTCAGTAAATGGGGCACCCAACGTGCACAAACCTTTTTAAGTCCAAGTTTTTTAACAGAATTTCATGAACACTTCCTTCTGAAATGCCAACACTATTAGCCATATTGTTATGTATGCAACATATTACATGTATATAGTTTGTATCTGACCAGTTGGTATTTCCAATTTTATCATTGTTCTATTTTTAGAACATAAACTACATGTATGTAGTAGAATGTTCTTAACTGTTTGAGAAAACTCATGCATTATATTTAGATAGAAACTTCTGGAATGATCTTTATTGTTGAAGTTGCTAGATTATGATTACTTGAGAACATAATAGACCTTTCTGGAAACTTCTTAGTTAATATATATAAGGAGACATTTTTCATTAATCTTATCTTTAAGTCATCAGTTACCTTTTTAGTCATCAGTGATCTTTAAGTCATCAGTTACCTTTTTAGTCATCAGTGATCTTTTAAGTCATCAATATATTTGGAGTATTATTCAACTTGGAAATTAAGTGATTTATTGGAGCTTGGATTATTAATTATTCTTGTGGATTTTATTGTGGGAATTTATTCTAAAGTGTTCTTGGATTTAACTGTGCTATTCAAAAAGGGATCATTCCAGGATCAGACTAGACATTTGAATTTTACATTTATATTTGGACTTCAGGTATTTGTACACATAATTTGTTGTTTTAATTTTCTTTAATAATTTTTCTGTAATAAATTTGTTATTGTTACAAGTTTGTTGCTGGATTTTCTTTCTCGTTACGCCTGGCTCGTAACAGAAATTGGGGGCTCGTCCGGGATTGAATATTTCTTTTTGGCTACATTATTGGAAATTATTACCATTTATTCTACATTTTATTATTACCGTATTTACTCATCTGAGTTGATATCATAGTTGTTCTATTAAGTGTACCTTTCATTTTGAAATTTTTGAAACACATCACTTTCTGAGTTTAAAACCAGCAGCAAGCAGTCATGTCTTTTAATTTAGAAAAGTTTGTAGCTGAACCTTCCCAGGAGGTATTAGATTTGGCTAAGAAAACTGATTTGCTCGATCTTGCAAAAAAGTATAATTTATTAGAAATTAAATCTTCAATGCGTAAACAAGAAATTAAAAATTCTCTAATTCATTATTTTGTGGATGAAGATATTTTTGGACAAGATGCACTTTCTCAGATTGTTGAAACAAACCCAGAAATTAAGATAAAAGAGCTTGAACTTCAATTTAAATTTGAACTAGAGAAAATGCAGTTAGAGAAAGAAAGGGAAGAAAGGCAGTTACAGTTAGAAAAAGAAAGGGAAGAAAGACAGTTAGAAAAAGAAAGGGAAGAAAGACTGTTAGAAAAAGAAAGGGAAGAAAAAGAAAGGGAAAGACAGTTTGAAAAAGAAAGGGAAGAGAGAAAATTAGAAAAAGAAAGGGAGGAGAGAAAATTAGAAAAAGAAAGAGAAGAGAGAGAATTTCAGTTAAGAATGAGAGAATTAGAAATCAAAGAGAGAGCAAATCAGTTTGAACATAGAATAAATTCAAAATTTGATGTCACTAAAAATATTAGGCTTGTTCCACCTTTCCAAGAAAAAGAAGTTGATAAGTATTTTCTTCATTTTGAAAAGGTTGCTGAAAATTTAAAATGGCCGAGAGAGCACTGGACATTACTTTTACAGAGCGTCTTAACTGGTAAAGCTCGTGAAATCTATACACAACTTACTGTTGAACAAAGCTCTAATTATGATAATGTAAAAGAATTAATTCTGAAAGGTTACGAGTTAGTACCAGAGGCCTACAGGCAAAAATTCAGAAATTCTAAGAAAGAAATTGGTCAAACCCATGTCGAATTTGCAAGAGAAAAAGAACAACTTTTTGATCGGTGGTGTCTATCTAAGAAAATTAATAAAAATCATGAAAAGCTTAGACAGCTCATGTTAGTTGAAGAGTTTAAACGTTGTATTCACTCTGATGTTAAGTCTTTCTTAGATGAAAAACAGGTAGAAACTTTAGAAGAAGCTGCCCGTCTAGCTGACGATTATTCTTTAACCCACAAAGTCTCATTTATAAATAAAGGGAAGTCCACACCCTCACATTTTAATTCCAAGTTCAGTTCTGGTAATATATCTGGCTTATCTAGTCAGTCAAATACTCCCAAACCAAAGTCATCTGATGAAAATAAAGGTCATAGTCCCTTATCTCGTCCTACATGCAATTATTGCAAGAAAACTGGACATCTTATATCTGATTGCTTTACCTTAAAAAGGAGGCAACACCAACGTGATGAGGCCAAACCCACAGGTCTTACCACTTCAAGGTCTGAACCTCAGTCTTGTATTGATAACAATGCAATTTTGAAGGTCAAAGAACCCAAGTCTGATTCTATAATGGAGATTTATGAACCATTCCTTTCGGAAGGTTCCGTGTCACTTATCGGTGATACTTGCCCACCTACTCCTATTACAATTTTAAGAGACACAGGAGCTTCTCAATCTCTTATTTTAGCAGATACACTGCCTTTTTCTGAGAAGACTTCTTCTGGATCTAGTGTCCTTATTCAGGGTGTAGAGTGTGGTTTTTCTAATGTTCCTCTCCATAATATTTATTTGTCCTCAGATTTGGTAACTGGGCCGGTGGCTGTAGGTATAAGATCTTTCTTACCCTTTAAAGGTGTTCATTTATTGCTAGGTAATGACTTAGCTGGAGATAAGGTAGTGGTTAATCCACTTGTAACTGACACTCCTTGTGTGGATCAGATACCTGACCCCATTGAGCAGGAAATTCCTGACCTTTACCCTTCATGTGCAGTTACTCGAGCTATGGCTAAGAAGGCCATTCAAGATTCAGATATTGACTTAGCTGATACTTTTATAGGTCAGTCTTTTGATAATGAAATGAATTTTTCTCTTACTCCTACTCTGCCTGAAACTCAGACAGATTTTTCAATATCTGACTTTTCTACACCAAGATCTAAAGATCAAGGTCATGACATGCTGTCAAGGTCACAGCTTATCCAGGAACAACAAAATGATCCTGAGATTTCAGTCCTTTATCAAAAGGCTTTTAGTGAAGATGAAGCTTTACAAGTCCCTGTTTGTTATTATGAAAAGAATGGGATTTTAATGAGAAAATGGCGACCGCCCGATGTCCCTGCTGAAGAGGAGTGGACTGTTAATCACCAAATTGTGGTCCCAAAATCATATCGCCAGGAAATATTAAGCTTGGCTCATGAAACACCCATGGCAGGTCATTTAGGTGTTAATAAAACCTACCATAAAATTCTCAATCATTTTTATTGGCCTGGCCTTAAAGCAGATGTATCTAGGTACTGTAAATCTTGTCATACTTGTCAGATGGTTGGAAAACCTAACCAGACAATACCTAAAGCTCATTTACAGCCTATTCCTGCATTTGATGAACCTTTTAGTAGAGTTATTATTGACTGTGTAGGTCCATTACCAAAAACTAAATCAGGTTCTCAGTACTTATTAACTATTATGTGTGCTTCTACGCGCTTCCCTGAAGCTATTCCTTTAAGGAATATTAAAGCCAAAACTATTGTTAAGGCTCTTGTGAAGTTTTTCACTTTTGTTGGATTACCTAAATCAGTACAGTCTGATCAAGGGTCAAATTTTATGTCTGGTATTTTCCAGCAGGTCATGCATGAGTTAGGAATTACTCAATATAGGTCTTCAGCTTATCACCCTGAAAGTCAAGGTGCATTAGAAAGATTTCACCAGACTCTGAAAAATATGATAAGGTCATATTGTTTTGACACTGAAAAAGACTGGGATGAAGGCATCCATTTATTGTTATTTGCTGTAAGAGAATCTGTTCAGGAATCTCTTGGCTTCAGCCCTTTTGAATTAGTATTTGGTCACACTGTCCGAGGACCCTTAAAACTTCTCAAAGAGAAATTCCTGTCTGAAGATGACATATCTTTAAATTTGCTTCAGTATGTATCAGATTTTCGAAATAGGTTGACTAATGCATGTGAGTTAGCTAGGGTTAATTTAAAATCAACACAAAGTAAAATGAAATCAAGGTATGATGAGAATGCTCAGGAAAGAAGTTTTAACCCTGGTGATAGAGTACTTGCTCTTTTACCTATACCTGGAAAACCATTACAGGCAAGATACTTTGGTCCTTATACTATTGAAAAGAAAGTCAGTGACCTTAATTATATTATTAATACTCCTGGGAGGCGAAAGCAAAAGCAAATGTGTCATATAAATATGTTAAAAGAATATTTTGACAGAGATAGCAAAATTAGTAAACCTATATCTTTTGTAAACTCTGTTCCACAAAATCAATGTTCAATTGAATCTAATAGTTGTGAAAATTTTGAAAAGTCTGATCCTGGTTCAGCAAAGCTTGAAAACTCTGATATTCTGAAAAATCTGGATGAAAAACTTGCTCACTTAGAACCGTCAAAACGAGATGAACTGAAACAGCTTATTTATGAATATGAACACTTATTTCCTGATATTCCCACACGGACTGATAAAATACATCATGACGTCATTCTTGAAAACTCTGAACCAATAAAACAACATCCATATAGAACGAATCCTGTAAAACAAAAGTACCTAAGACAAGAAGTTAAGTATTTATTGGATAATGACTTTATTGAACCAAGTCAATTAAGCAGTTACAGCTCTCCATGTATTCTTGTACCGAAATCAAATGGAACATATAGAATGTGTACAGATTATCGTAAAGTAAACTTTGTAACAAAAACTGATTCATTTCCGATACCAAAAATTGATGATTGTATTGACAAAATTGGAAAAGCAAAGTATGTAACAAAGTTTGATCTTCTAAAAGGATTCTGGCAAGTTACACTTACTGATAGAGCTAAAGAAATATCAGCCTTTGTAACACCAGACGGCTTATATCAATATAAAGTCATGCCATTTGGTATGAAAAACTCACCAGCAACTTTTCAGAGACTTATTAACATGGTAATATCTGGGCTACACGGATGTGACGCATACATTGATGACGCAATCATCTACTCTGATGAATGGGAGGAACATCTCAAAACTATACGAGCATTCTTCGACCGACTTAGTGATGCTAAATTGACAGTTAATTTTGCAAAAAGTGAATTTTGTCATGCAATTTTAACATTTTTAGGACATGTAGTGGGACAGGGTAAAGTTAAACCAATAGAAGCTTAGGTCAAAGCTATCTCTGAATTTCCTGTGCCTACTTGTAAAAGACAACTGATGCGATTTCTTGGTATGGCAGGGTATTATCGTAAATTTTGTAATAATTTTTCGGTTATTGCAGAACCATTGACAAATTTGTTAAAGAAAAGAAACAAATTCATTTGGAATGACAAGTGTCAAATGGCATTTGACAGCCTGAAAGCCATACTTAAGAGTGCACCAGTTCTCTTGGCACCAGATTTTAATAAAAACTTTAAGTTAGCTGTAGATGCTAGTGACATAGGTGCTGGAAGTGTATTGATCCAAGAAGACAACAATGGTGTTGACCATCCCGTTTGTTACTTTTCTAAAAAGTTTAATGAACATCAGAAAAATTACTCTACTATAGAGAAAGAATGCCTTGCTCTTATTCTTGCTATTCAGCATTTTGAAGTTTATCTAACTTCTTCAAAGTTGCCTGTTGTTGTCTTTAGTGATCACAATCCCCTCACTTTCTTGCATAAACTTAAAAACAAAAATCAAAGGTTGTTGAGGTGGAGCTTATTTTTGCAAGAATATAGTCTTGACATTAGACACATTAAAGGGAAAGATAATTTGATCCCTGATGCACTTTCACGTGTCTAAAACTGTTATTTGCAGTATTTTAAATTAAACATGTATATGATATGATTGATTTTCTTTTTGTTTTTTTTTGTTGTTGTTTGCTATTGTTTGTAATACACATATATATGAATGAATGTATAAAATTGTTTAACATTTCTCCTATGTTATTTGTAAGTTACATTGTTTGGATTTATGTAAAAGAAATATTCATTTCATTCATATTTCTTTTTCTTGAAGAGGGGAAGTGTTATGTATGCAACATATTACATGTATATAGTTTGTATCTGACCAGTTGGTATTTCCAATTTTATCATTGTTCTATTTTTAGAACATAAACTACATGTATGTACTAGAATGTTCTTAACTGTTTGAGAAAACTCATGCATTATATTTAGATAGAAACTTCTGGAATGATCTTTATTGTTGAAGTTGCTAGATTATGATTACTTGAGAACATAATAGACCTTTCTGGAAACTTCTTAGTTAATATATATAAGGAGACATTTTTCATTAATCTTATCTTTAAGTCATCAGTTACCTTTTAAGTCATCAGTGATCTTTAAGTCATCAGTTACCTTTTTAGTCATCAGTGATCTTTTAAGTCATCAATATATTTGGAGTATTATTCAACTTGGAAATTAAGTGATTTATTGGAGCTTGGATTATTAATTATTCTTGTGGATTTTATTGTGGGAATTTATTCTTAAGTGTTCTTGGATTTACCTGTGCTATTCAAAAAGGGATCATTCCAGGATCAGACTAGACATTTGAATTTTACATTTATATTTGGACTTCAGGTATTTGTACACATAATTTGTTGTTTTAATTTTCTTTAATAATTTTTCTGTAATAAATTTGTTATTGTTACAAGTTTGTTGCTGGATTTTCTTTCTCGTTACGCCTGGCTCGTAACAATATCTTTTACTGTATAACGGCCATATTCTTCCACCAATGCTTTCACAGCAGCCACATGCTTATCAGTCACTGACGACTTCGGACGTCCACTTCGATGACCATCTTTAATCACAGAAAGCCCACCTTTAAATTTTTTCGCCCATCTACAATATGTCATAAATGATACCACGAATGTCCATAAATACCATTCAGCTCATTATAAATGTCTTTTGGAGATACATGCAAAGCAGTGCGACTTTTAATATAAGTGCGTACTTCAACTTTGTAATGTCGTTTCATTGTTATTTCCAAAATATGGCCAGTGTATATGAGTGACACTACTTCAAAACTGAATAATTTTGTCATTATTGCATCGATTTGCACGTGTTTTTCGTGCTTATATAGTGTGAATATTCATGTACATTAATGTATATGTTTATTGAAGCAAAACCGTCGATTTCGCTACGGAAGACCATTGGTAACAAAACTTTTTGAATAAACCTCGTAATTTGTTACAATTCAGAATGTATAGTAACTTCTCCAAAAAGATAAAATTTAAGATTTGCGGTTGTTTAGAAAAGTACAAGTATACATATGAAGTCTTTCCCAGATGTTAAAATGAGACACAAGGAAATGAGAAATTGAAAAATACTAAATAGTTTTAAAGGATTTTAATCAATTTCTACAATGTTCTTATTCCAAAAGAAATGGAAAGAATTGCAATATTCCATTTCCACAATATTCTTTCACCAACAGAAATCGAAAGGATTACATTATTCAACTTCCAAATATTATATTACCAACAATTATTTAACGATTTAAGTGTTAATGAACAAAACACTGTATAATCTATTTTGCATCCGTGTCTGATTTACTAGAAATCTATTATTTTTATCAATTAAATTTTATAAATATATTTTCTTTACGACTTAACATTACAGCTCAAATTCAATTTTTAATAATTCTTTTAAAGGGAACAAAAAGGTGGTTCACCTTACTGGGAAGAAAAAAAAGAAAAAAGACCCTTCTCATCCTTTTTTCACTGTCGCCGATAAAGAATATGCAAAAGCCATTGTAAAAGAAGATGATTTCTTTGTGGTGGCTAAAATGTTTGATACATATGAGAGAAACCTCTCCGACAAAAAGAAAGGGATGATGTAAGATGCATTTAATTCCTTAGTTTGTACTTTTTAACTTCTGGTAAAATTGTCACATGTTTCACAATACTCACCGTCTTGTTTTATTGTTTACATACAGTTTTTTTCTGCTTTTAATGAACAAACTGTTTATGTTGTTATCTATAAAGTTTCGTGTCCTGTTGATAATGGATTGTATTTCTAAAGTTTTACTTTGATATTGCTGCATTTTTAGATAAGCAAAAAATGAAAATTTAAATTAGATGACGAAATTTTCTTAAACTTTGAATGATTTAGGAGAATAACAATCGGAAAAAATGATGCAAAATCCATGGTCTACATCAAAATTAGATTACTTCAAACAGGGTCAACTTTATTTCCCTGTTTAAGTGATAAATTTGCTGAGAATCTTACATTCATTCATCAATACACAGTTTACATGTACATACAGGTATCAAGTGACGTAGTATATGGTAAGCATGATACAATCGATGTGTGTTAACAAATTGAGGTGTGAAGTACATAATGACCTGATCAAACTGGATTACGATTTTGTGTCAGATTTTTTTTACTGTTTATGTAATGCCAACGGAAGATTTTTTTAGACAGCATTTTTTTTATTTCACCTTCCTATTGCTACATGAATTCTATGTGAAAATGTTGATAGATCTACCTTCCATTTAAAGAGAAAAAACTTTGGATATGAATATGTCATAAATTAAAGTATGATATTTATTTTAAGGATTTTGAATGCATCAGATTCAAGTTTATTTGTACTAAAATGATTCAATATAAATCTAATATAAAATAAAAAATAATTTTTAAATGATATACATGCAATTAACTATAATGTTTTACCGGGATTCTCATTTTATTTACATCAAGTATTTAAAGAACCTATGTTTATTTACAATTGGTTACATATTATTCCTTCACACAGTTATGTATTTTAATTTTCTTTGAGACTGTATTAAGAGACTCCCTGTCATATGTGACCTTTTTCTGAGGGTCCCTTGGAAAGTCACATATGACAGTCTTGACTGTATTTTAAAGAAGTCTATACGCAAAATTGTTTTCTTCAAGTTTGTCTTTTTGGAAGAAATATGTAAAATGTGTACTCACTGAATCACAGCAAAATATCCGTAAAATAGATTTTTTTTCAAACTTCTCTTATTGACTGTTTATAAAATCAAAATAATGTGAAATACACTAAGGTATCCTTATACTTTATATTGACTTATCTCTTCTTGAAAATGATCTTAATACGCTAAAAACTAACATTAGGTCGTACTATACTCATAAAGTTAGAGGAAGGCCCCAGTTATCCACCAATTTGTTCCAGTTTTATTGCAGAGTTAAAGAAATTACTTTTAGCTAGTTACATTTGCCTTTCCTTACATACATTTGAAAAATGTAGATACTGTCAGATTTGTCCTTTTACGGGTATATCGGCTAATTCAATGAAGAAAATGAAAGGGTGAACTTTATACGTAACAGACACAGAACAATTTCTCCAATACCAGTACTTGCTTTTTAGCCACATGGACACAGGTACAAATATCAACTTTTTTTATATATAGCCCATACAACCCAGGGGATATAGTGAAATTAGCAAAAGTAATGAAAGGACGTATATTTTATGACACAAGGTGGAACAGTTGCGAGAAAATGGCTATTTTCTGCAGATATGTTACTCCTGATGATACGCCAGAGGTAAAAAGGAACAAATGTTTAATTGTTCATTTATACTTTTTATGATTTTAATAATATAAATAAACTGATAACTTGTTAAAGAAAATAAGTTTTGATCATGAAAAATCTGATGCATGTTTGTTGACGAATTAGGCCCTTGAAGCTTAATCCTTTTAAAAATGAACGAGTATTGTTGTAGAAAAGCTATATGCTATAGAGTTTTCCCAAAAAGATTAATTCGCTGATCAAATGAGGATCTGTGAATCTTTTCTCTCTGATATTAATTATAATTATATTTTCAAAGGTGCTAACAGAGTTAGAAAATGATTCAATTATTTTACGAAGTCTGCACATAATCCATTTGCATACAACATACATTTGACGTCTTTTGACGACAAACAAAGAAAGTCCAAAACAAATTTGGTTTCACATTGTATCCATTACTATTGAAGAATTATTATTAAACATATCTTATCTATTTATTTTGCTTTTGTTAAATCAAGGTAAACACTTGTAAACAACTTTGATATATAGTGTTAACTGACACATTAAAGTCATTTATTACAGAGTGAGGATGAAGACGATGATGTAAATATAGCTTTATTGTATATTTTTAATAAGTCAACTCATTTTTAATCCTATCTGATTTTATTAAAGATAAGACTTGTCAGATGTATTTAAAATACAGGGTATTTATCTAACAATAACATGAAATCGATATTTTTTACCTGAAACAAATATGATTAAAGTTAACATCTTGTATCATTATATATCTTATTATATCTAAGGCTGGAGGAACATCTTTTATGATACATAGCGTTCGGTGGTGTTTACATTAATGTGTGCCATGATATGGACTTTTATGAGAATTGAAATGATATAAGAAAACTCAAATTTTTTGAGGGCTATACCTATTTTTAAACCTTTATAACAAGATGAGGTCGTTATAGATCTGTAGCTTCAACTCTCACAACATGTTTTAACATGTAATCATGATGTATATGTAGGTAATTAACTTCCGGACCTTATAGGTTAGAATTTATCTGTCACTAATTATTAACTGCTTTTTTATGATTTTTTATATGTGTTGGCAATATACTTCCAAAATAATTATGTTATGACAATTTTAAATACAGAAAAACGCTATGCAGTCGATTCCTGAAGCAGCAGCCTATATTCGCCGTGACGATGAAGAAAATGTAACTCTTCTTGATGAACCTGAACCTGATGAGGTAAATTACTGTTTAAAATTTACAATGGAAACTAACATGTGTGCAATAATAATTGAAACTATAACGATATGAAATTAAGTAAGATATACCTATTCATCTTTACAATATTTTATAGAGAGTACTCACCTCCTAGATTTTCATATTCATTCAAAATCGGAAGCATTGCTATGCCTACATAAAAAGTGGATAGCATACTGAAATAGGATTGTCCGTCTCCCTTGCGTGCGTGCGTCCTCTTTTCCTCATTCGATCAATAAATAAAAAAAAGAATAAGCCCATGTTCGTCATTAATAAAGACCATTGCCGAGGGCAGAAAATGATCCAAATAATGTTTATAGAACACACTGTGTGTAAAGTCATTTTCCGATCACTAACTATTTGTCAACGGCCAAAGTCACAGTCAGAGTTTGTGTGAAATCATTGTCCTATTAATAAAGTCTGAAGGAAATATTAAGCTTAAATTTGTGAAACTATGTACAGGCAAAGCACCTGACGGATTATTACCCATTCAATTTTTATTTGTCAGTTGGTCTAATGTCAAATTACATAGTTTATTTGATAAACATTCTTTCCGGGCCAATAATGTAATAAGAAATATGCCTTGGTTTAACATTTTTTTAGGGCCAGGAAACGATTTCTTATTTATTGGGACATGGGGTACGATCGTTGTGGAACTTGCTTGACTCTTCTGTTCAATAAATTTTAGGGAAAACGTAAACTAACATGCTGGGTTATCTGAAGTCATTCTGTGTTTAATTTATCTCTTTCTTTTTTCTCTTTTCTTTTTTACTTAGTGGGGACATCGCAAGTGACAAGTAAATGATATATTTTGATTTTCAGGTCAACATAAATTGTAAGGTTCCAGTGACACTTTCAATAAAATCCTTATCCATTCAATGTTAATTAAGGAAATTAGCTCTCATCTGTTTGTTCATATTTCATATTTTGTTATTTAAGTAGGAGCATAGCACTTTTCAAAAGGTTCATGTTACTTGACTTGACAGTTTATGATACACAAATTTCATTACACACACGACGTTTTCTTTTTCCGAATCATATTGCCTATATATATATATATATATGACTGTATTTTTGCTGCGAAAGTTTCACATAATCTACATAGATTTTGATCTACATAAAAGGAAAGGAAAACTGCTCATTATACGAACTTACTAAAATATACGAAGATACAGATTCGAACTTTGCACACCAAATACTTAAGATGAGCTTTCTAGCGGCACCCGCTTTTCGGGTTTGTGTGTGTAAACTTACTTTTAATAAATATTATTGCAATGGGTAAAAGTAAAAGTTAATATAATCAATTACATTACCTATTTTGACGATAACTTTAACCGTATCGTTTTCATACTAAAATATTATGTCATTGATCATTGATAAATTACATAAATTGCAAGAAAGTTACACAACTGTATACTCTGACATTATAGTTATATTTTTAGTGAAAGTGTGTTCTTGTTAAATATTTGCATTGGTTCTGGAAATGAATTAGAACTTTCGGAGCTTTTCATAGCAAACAATTGTAAATACACTATTTGATAAAGCAAAAAAACATTTAGATGATTCATATCGTCTTACCATTAATTTATTTGTGTAGGAGCAGCTGGACATCAAAGCAGAAAAATACATCAAACAACATAATGAAAAAAATTTAACAGAGCTAGAAGAGGGAGATCTTGTTAGGATTCGACACTTTTTGTACGATCATTGGCTTGTGTATATTGGTACGTTGGAATTCTACTTTAACTTTGAGTTTATGACAGGATATCTTTATATCCTGTTGTCAGAGATTTTATGTATGATCAGTTAAAGGACATTTGCTAACACAATTGAGTTGAGACAGTGTACGAAGGGTGTTCAATGCAACTAAGTCAATTTACAGAAGTGCTTAACAAACAGTGCCAAAATAATTATCTCAATCTTTCAAAATACTCACCTCCGTGTGATATACAATGTTTTAGTCTTTAAATCTTATTTTTAAATGCGTTTTCATAATCTTTTCGATATTTTCTTCCTGCAAGGTGTTTTTTGAGCCTCGGAAAAAGGAAAAAGTCACAAGGAGCAAAATCTGGCAAAAAAGGAGTATGCGGAAACTCGACAACCTTTTCCTGTTTCAGATATTCTCGTTTAATAGCCCTCGTGTGACAAAGCATTGTCATGCAACAACCTGACACCACGAAGACCAGTTGTTGGTCGACGGTTTTTGAAATATTTCTTTAATTTATGAAAAACCCTGTCTGTGTAAAACTTGTCATTTACAGATTCACCCTTTGGTACGGCAATTTGAATAGCAGGACCTTAATTAGTAAAGAAAATTACACACATGACCTCTTTGACGCTCATGGTGCGTTTTGCTATGCAAGGTCTTTGATTTCCTTTGGTTGCCAATATTTTGTTACGTATCTTTCGCCTGGGCGCACGTTTCATCGCCAGTGATGATATTTGCAAAATATCGATTGTTGTATAAAGGAAAATGGAGATTCTTACCCTTACAAGTTTTTGCTCTTTTGTAAGGAGATGGGGTATTCATCTGGAACTGATCCGTCTCATTTTTAAATCACGGTTGAAAATTGTATGAGCGGCTCCTACAGAGATATCAAAGCATTTAGCTATATACTAAATCTTGCATCAGTAGCAATCACATCCTTTACTGTCTCAACCATGTTTGGCGAAGTTGCAGTTTTCGGGCGGCGTGCATAAGGTGCACCCTTTACTTAACCCACACCAATTTTATATTACATCTCCGTGTGAATGATGAAAAAGACAGGTTATTGTTCCCATAAACATGACATACTTCATTTATTTAAAATATGTCTTTCGTCTGTATACCAAGAATTCAGGTCCTTGATATATGATTGTAGTTGGTCAGTGAAAGGAGACATTTTCCCAACCATTTAGCTTTAGTAAACACGAGTAGATAGCGTTGATCGAGCTTTTGTCAAAGCAATACTGAACTGATTTACACATGTATTGTATCAATTGAGAGCTTACACAACCATCTATGCGATGCATGTACAAAGTTCGTGCAAAACCTGGTTACAAGCGAGATACTGGCCTAGTTACAGTCATATTTGAACATTCCTCGTTTATCACTTATACTCATTAGTAACTTCATAAAGGTAACAAATAAAAATATCATTCTTTGTTTTTTATTAAGGGAACGGTGAGGTCATTCATTTCTCTTCACCAGATAATAAGCGGGGCAAAAAGCAAAGAGCTAAGCAATTTATAAATAATTTCTCCGTCTTCGGTGCCCTTTGATTAATTAAGGTAATAGTTGTGATGGTTTTCGTCGCGGTGACTCTTGTTTTCATAGCCGGTGGACTCGTACTGAAATATGCAGACTAAATGAACAGTGTGGATAAGGAACTTGAAATTATAGCAAAGTAGTGTTGTATTGTTCTGATGGATGAAATTGAAATGCATGCCTTTTATTTGTTCCTCTACTTATATAAGATAAATATCAGTTTAATTTTTTACATAAAATTGTGACTAATTGTTTGCATAAACTTAACGATTCATATGAATGTTCGTCTTTCTCAACATATATGTCCAACAAAACAATATTTGTTTGTGGTAATCACATTTTTTTCTCGTGTAGAGCAAACACGTTCTCTTATTCTGGGACTATACTCCCATACTCTTTACAGAATGACAAGAACGTGTACCATTGTGACCTCCATTAAAAAACCACTATATGAGCATACTTGCTTCGGGTGTAAGCGGTGCTAGGGGCCGTGGACGGTAGCTTGCAATTCCCAAAACATTTCAAGATCAGTTAAACAGAGCATGCAACATTTTCAGTTTTGCCGCTCTGGGAATCTATAAAGATTCCGTTTTACTCTATTTTTGCAAGTTATAAGGAAAATACTTTGAAAAAGATATATCTTATCTCGTTCTGTATTAAGTTTGATTATACGTTCTTTATTTAGATCTATGTACCATCTACATTTATTTAAACTAAGCTCAACTTGGTCAAATCCTTTACAGTCCATAAGTTGGATTCGGTCAAGGGAAACATTATTGTATGTAAACTAGTAGTAAAAAATGTGCCAGCATAATACTCACATTGTATAGCAATGAATTGTTAATTGGAAGCAATATTTAATTCAATATTTTTAAGTCAATATTCAAATTTATAAAAGATATCATCAAACTGGCGTTCTATCGTTTGTTAAGAAGCACGTTTCATTTTATTTGAACTGTTGTGTATTAAGTTTGTACTGATATTAATATCATAACAGTTGTACATGTAACCTTTAGACATCTTATTCATAACATATAAAATCAAGTTAAGTTGTCAATGTTTATTTCCATCCTACACATCTTTACCTAGAATTATAATTATTATCATTATTTAATTTTTTTTTGTTTCGTTTTGTTTCTTTGGTTTGGTTACACGTCAAACCAACACGTTATATATCATAGTTACCAGCTTTTCAGGCGGAGGAAGACCTCGTTGTCAGGCCATGCACTATTTTAGGCACAAAAGGCACCTGAGTAGAAACACCGACGTGTTGTTGAGTCTCCATATTTGAATGTTTGTGTTTGTAAATAATAAGGAGCACATGAATACACTTTTTGGTAGTTACTTTAATTGATTTATTCTGCTAGACGAACAAGTTGTTCCTTTCAAATATGGCCTTCGTAGTTCAAAGTATTTTATCTAGGAGATAGTTATCCTGCACAAGGGGCAGGACGTGAAATTGTTGCACATTCGGTTCAAGCGAGCAAAACAGTTGCAAACTTGACAAATTGGCTACCGAGTCATGAATATTTACAACACCGGCACGTATATTCTACAGGTAAGTGTGTTTGATGTTATTTTGAATATTTTCAATATGCCCATTTCTTAAGGCAATGTTTATGCCGCAGTTTTAGGTTCCAGTTTTCTAGCTTCTGATTAGACTACGATATTGAAGAGATAAACTGCTCGTGCACATATTCTGAGATTTGTCAAGTGACGATCTAGAAAAGGTGTATGCTAATTTAATTATATCTGTAAGTTTTGAAGATCACCAGACAAGAAAAATATATTTCTATCAATACTGTGTTAAATGTTTTTATTTGCATAATCCAAAGTTTAAATACACAAAAATATCTTGTTCAGTCGCAGTCTAGTTGCAAACTTGTGTTTCAAGGATTTCTGGTTGTTAACTTATTCTTGTTATCTTTAAGTCAAATATAAAACTGCAAAAGGCTTAAAAAAGATAATATTTATTAGTCAAAAATATTTCCTTGACAGTTTGTGTTATATAATTATTTCACTTGCTTTTAAAATGCTTTTATATGACATTGATATTTTTAGGGGTTTCTTTGTTCAGTTGTCAATTCTTATCATTTTCTGGTAAGACCACTCCATGTCCCGGCTCTTGTACCCTCTCCTAATTTTCGTTCGGTGCCATTCCTACTGAGTACCTTTGTGGTAGTCCAGTGTGACAGGACTTTGTTGGGGCTGCATTCTCTGAATGTGCCTTTGCATTATTGATTTTGTTGTTACATATATCTTGTTTCACACCCATAACACGTGTGCGTAGTTCTTTTAATTGCACGTATCTCGGATTATAATGAAAAGGCATTATGGAATAAAATGGGAAGTTATATAAACGAGTAGTATACATTAGAACATCCCGACTGAAAAAAGTGTCATAATTAATTATATCTCTTGTGAGTGGTTCCGTATTTATTTTCATTGATATTCTCTCAATATTTTGCACATACAGTTTGTATAACATTTTACGTATACAATTGTTTCATGACAATAAACAAACAAACAAATAAACATGTAGTTATGAAAAATGTGCATTTACTGTACACCTTTATGAATAAATAAATAAGATTAATTATGAATATATTTAGAATCGAAACAAAACATTTAGAGAATGAACAATGATTTTAATTTTAGACACTAGTAGTTGAAAGTGCATACCTAATGGAAAGAGCTTCAGCTCGGTTTATGTTCCGGTATGTTAAAAATAATTGTCAAGAATGTTTTCAATCTTTATGTCTTACATGTTTTGGGACAAGTCCGAGTGGGAGCATTCAGAGAAAAACATTTATTCCGTTTTTATGCCTAAACCAGACAATAAATATAAAAACTTTTTACAATTATCTCAAGTACTTAAGCAATTCTTTGGTGCGCTACATAATTTTTTGATATTCTTACTTTTTCTTATAATAAAATTGTCTTTTAACTTCGAGTCGACGGATTTTCTGCAAAAAATTGTCGGAGTTGGAGCATTTAGCAGGTGCGCGATGACGTAGTATCCTACCATTGTAGGTAGTGTATTAAGATTACATTCACTTACAAAACAAGATTTAAGATTTTAATATATACATAAAACAGGGCTTTTTTCAAAATAACCGAACAATCTTGTGTGCAGGAATCAGTAAGACGGCATTTAAATTCGAATAAAAGCATAAGCTTGTCAATATTGTCCTAATTATCAAAAATGTATGAACATCCATCATATAATACTTAAAATATTTTTAACATTAGAAATCAAGTGACTGAGTGTAAGCTGTTTTTGATATTATATCGTCTGTTCTTACAAGTTTTAACCAGAACTTAATAATTCTTACATAATCTATAAATATATAATGGATATCTGCCTAGTTCAGTGGGTTTTGGTCAGTTTCACTGTTTTCCCTGATGGTAGAACAGGGCTTGAATTTCCGTTAAGAAATACTAGCAAAGCCTATCACCGTGCGTTTGGTCAGCTTGAATTTATTCCCGGATGCTAGAATCGGGAGCTTGGTTTTCCATTCAGAAAATCTAGAAAAGCTTATTACCGTGGGTTTGGTCCGCTTGTCTGTATTCCCTGAGGCTAAACCCGGCGTGGTTTTCCGTTACAAACGAATAAGATGGCCTATCACCTATGGTTTAGTCAGCGTAACCATATTCCGTTAGACTTGAACCGGGCTTGGTTTTCAGTAAAGAACTTTAAATATGGCCTTTCACCGTGGGTTTGGTCTGCTTGACTGTATTCCCTGAGGCTAGAACATGGCTTCGTTTTCCGTTAAGAACGTATATAAATGCTTATCACCGTGGATTTGGTCCGCTTGACTGTATTCCTTGAGACTAGAACAGGGCTTCGTTTTCCGTTCAGAATGTATAAAAAGGCCTATCACCGTGGCTTTGGTCAGCTGTATTTTACTCCAAGATGCTAGATTCGGCTTGGTTTTCCGTTTAGAAATATTAGAAAGCCCTATCACTGTGGATGTGGTCAGTTTGACTGTATTCCCTAAGGCGAATCCGAGCTTAATTTTCCGTTACGAATGTATAAAAAGGTCTTTCACCGTGGGTTTACTCAGCTTGACTATATTCCCTTAGACTAGAACCGGGCTTCGTTTTCAGTTAAGAACGTACAAAAAAGCCAATCACCGTGGTTCGGCCAGCTTGACTGTATTCCCTGTAGCGAAAACCGGGCTTGTTTTATTCCATTAAGACATACTAGAAACAGCTATCACCGTGGGTTTGGTAAGCTTGACCGTATTTCCTTAGGCTATAAGCGGGCATGGTTTTCCGTTAAGAACGTATAAAATGGCGTTCCGTTAAGAACAACTATATAGGCCTATCACCGTGGGTTTGGTCAGCTTTACTGCATTCCATTTGCTAGAACTGGGCTTGATTTTCAGTTAAGAAAGTATAAGAAATACGTATAACCGTCGGTTTGGTCAATTTGAAAGAATGTATAAAAGGCCTATCATCGTGGGTTTTGTAAGCTTGTTCGTATTGCCTGAGGGTATAAGCAAAATAGGTAGTTCATTAAGAACGTATAAAAGGCCTATCATCGTGGGCTTTGTATGCTTGACTGTATTCCCTGATGTTTGAACTGGGCTTGTTTTTCCGTTTAGAATATCTAAATTGGTCTATCACCTTGGGTTTGGTCAGTTTGATTGTATTTCCTGAGGCTATAAGCTGACAAGGTCTTCCGTTAAGAAATAATAAAAATGCTAATCACCATGTGTTTGGTAAGCTTGACTGTATTCCCAGAGGATAGGATCGGCTTCGTTTTCCGTTTAGAACTACTATAAGGGCCTATCGCCGTGGGTTTGGTCAGCTTGACTGTATTACATGGGCTAGAACCAGGCACCGTTTTCCTGTTAAGAACGTAATATCACCGTGGGTTTGATAAGCCTCATTGTATTCTCTGAAGATTAAGCCGGGCTTTGTTTTCAAAACGAACATCTAAAAAGGCTTATCACCGTCGGTTTGGTCAGCTTGACTGAATTCCCTAAGGCTAGAACCGCGCTTACTT